AAGAGAAATTAAGGGGAAAAAAAGGGCAAAAAGCAAGCGGCGTAGACGGTGAGAGCACTGATGTGGCTTCGGCGACGCTTTCTGACGATCACGATGGTGCCTTGGGTGGTTGAAGGGATTTCCCGTCCCTCTCTGTGTTATTATTTATTGTTCTTCTATTTTTAAGAACAAATTTCAGGGTTTAAGGGTCAGGTGTGGGGCAGGACAATCCGGCAGCTCTCCACCTCGAAACCGCGGCGCTTGAGATCCCAAAGAGCCAACACCCACCTCCCGATGCGGCGTTTCACCCCGCCGGGCGCGTGGCTCGGGCTGGAATCGAAAGGCCGGCGCTCAGGGAGGCCACCCGGCTCCGTTCATCCGGCTCCATCCATCCCGCGTCGGCCGCAGATGGGTTTTTTCGGGATCTTTGGCACCAGCCGGGGCAGGTTTCTGCGAAACACATGGGGATGAGTTTCCCAGCACCCAGCCGGGCTCCGAGGTGTTCGTCGGTGGCGGCTGGGTGAAAACCGCGAGCGGGAAATCGCCTGGGACCCCTCGCCGGGACGGTTTGGGGACTGATTTGAGGAGCGGGGCTCGGCCGCGGTGGTTTCACCATCAGCTCTCGCTTTCCTGTGCCGGGAGGCGTGTTCCAAACAGTGTGAAATGGGTCGGGAGCTGTTCTGGGCCGTTGTTTTGGTGTCGGCGCGGCTGTGCGCCGGACAAACCCGTCTCTAAATCACTTATTCTGTTTCAGGCTCACAAACTGTTCCGGTTTTATAGGAACGTGGAATTATGAGATTTTTTTTCCAGAAAATTAGCGATAAAAGCTAAATCTCCAGCCCGTCCACTTGCTGAGTTTAAAAACTAACCCTCAGGTGGCCTGAAAACTTTTTTCATCCCCTTTTCTGTCTGGCTGAGGCGTCTCCTGAGGCTCCACGTGACGTTATTATCACCAAAAATTTTGCCTTATTCCTCCCCACCGCTGAAAAATCGCCCGGAACCAAATGTGTAAACTGTCAAGAGTTGAGTGAATGTGACTAAAATAGGGAGGGGGGGAAAAAAAAAAAACAGCTTCCTTCCCCCTCCTGCCTTCATCTCTATTATTTTTTATTTTTGCTTGTTGTTGGGTGGGGCTGGATTATCCTCGGCCAAGAAGAGAGGGAACTGAAATGAAAAAAAAAAAAAAAAAATTCATTTTTTTGGGCCAGAAAAGCCGTTTTCCACCGCTCTGCTCTCCCAGCACAAACCCTCCTGGATTTCCAGCTTTGCCTCTTTTCTCGATTTTTCTCCCACTCGAAACAAATCCGGAGGAGAGGCCCCGAGCGCCTGGATTTAATTACCTGCGTTGCGTCGTTATCGATAACGCAGCCAACGAACTTTCGATAGAGCAACGGAGAACGTCTGGAATTAATTTCCTGGGACGTGCTGACGGTGAGGATCTCTGACCGACGTGTTACAATTTGGTTTTAAGCATCTTTGCTTTTTTTTTTTTTTTTAATTGTCCAGGTTATTTGAACACCGGTATCGCCGAGATCTAACCTTCTCCGGAGCCAGTCACTCCTCGGCGTGATGTCCACCAAGGTGCCGATCTACCTGAAGAGGGGCAGCCGGAAGGGGAAGAAGGAGAAACTCCGCGACATCCTCTCCTCCGACATGATCAGCCCGCCCTTGGGGGACTTCCGCCACACGATCCACATCGGCAGCGGCGGCTAGAGCGACATGTTTGGGGACATCTCCTTCCTTCAGGGCAAATTTCATCTTCTGCCCAGGACCGAAAGCGGCCTCGACTCCGACAAGGACAGTCCCGAAGCGGCACCGTTCGAATTCTCCAGGACGGCCACCATCTCCGGCCGCGAGCAG